TGGTTCCTGCCCAGTCCTCCTGGAACTACAACTTTATGGGTAAGTTGGGGAGCACAGGGAAGTGGGGCTGGGGTTAGGCCATCACCCTTGGCACTTGGGGCTTGACTCTGGGCCCACGCTGGGTGAGGCAGGTGCACCTGGTTAGCAGTGGCCCTTTCCTTCTTCCCCAAGGTGTCCGGCACGATCCCAACATGAAGTATGAGCTGCAGCTGGCAAATCCTAAAGAGTTCTACCACGAGGTGCACAGACCTTCCCACTTCCTCAACTTCGCCCTCCTGCAAGAGGGTGAGGTCTACTCTGCGGACCGAGAAGACCTCTATGCCTAATTGTTTCCTCACCTCCCCCTGCTTCAGATGTCCCAAAGACTGGAACCTTTTACCCCCAAAGAAAAGCTGGTGACATTCAGCAGCTTGGTCCCTTTTCCCCCTATTTGTGCTTCTTGTGTTATGGTATCTGGTGGCTTGTAGTCCTGAGGAAAATATAATAATAAATTTTGTATAAATAGGAGTTTTTGTGTTTTGTTTGCTGCTCCCTCCCCCATCCCAGGTTCAAATTCTGGGTGTAGGGATGGCAGGAGACTGGACTTGATCACAGCAAAGTGCTGGCCTCAGCCCTAAAGGGGCATGAGGCCCCTAATCGGGCTGTGGACCAAGCATCCCCTAGATTCAAGGAACTGAGGTGGGGTTGGGATTTCATACCCTTAGTGCCTTGACCACATTTACCAACTGCCCTTCAAAATATTTGCAAACCATCACTCCTTTCAACATCCTTTGGAGCGGCTGCTGCCATTTTCTGAGTCTGGAAGTTTGGATTTTTTTCCTCTGCAACTGTGGTGCCCAGCGTAGCCCCTTAATCTGTGTGTCACTGGTGGTTGGGAAAACAGGCACATGGCTGGACAGGTGGCTGTCTCTGGCTGAGGCCAATGACAGCCCTCCTACCTCACCTCTCGCCTGTAGTACTTGGCGGCGAAGTTGGGCCTCATGACTCCCGACACAGGGGTGGAGCCTGGATTGGGCACTGTGGGGAGGGATTGACAAAAGTGACCACTTAGAGCCCTGAGCCTCAGCTCTTGGACGCCTGGCTGCAAGTAGGCAGTCCTGCTTCCTGTGACCTTGGGGGCTTGAACAGGACAGGGCCCAGGGGGCCCAGTGCACTACCTCCTTCCCCAAGCCTTTTAATCGCTCCTCTGTCGCTTCTTCCCCGCCCTCTACTGCTTCCTGGGCCGGAACTGTTTGGCTTTTTCCTGCCCCGGTTAGGGTTGGAGGGGGCGGGCGTTGTCGCAGCCCTTAACTTTCTGGGAACATGGAGCCCGGGAAGGCGGTGCCTGGGGCGCACAGCAGCAGGCCTCGGGTGGCCGCGGGGTCAGAGACGGCCGCGGAGCTCGTGTACCAACTAGCGGGGGCCCTGGGCGCGGAGCTGAAGGAGCTGGCGCGCCGCTTCGGGCCGGAGGCGGCGGCCAGGCTAGTGCCACTCGTGGGGCGGACGCTGGAGCTCCTGGAAAAGGCTGCCGTGGGGCCGGACCCAGACTCAGTGAGTCACCGCGCTTCCCCCTGGCCGCCCGCAGGGCTGGTGGGAGCCTCGCCCTCACAGCCTGGCCTCCCCAGCTCCAGGTGTCAGCGCAGCAGGCCGAAGTGGAGCTGCGGCGGCTGCGGGAGGAGAACGAGCGCCTCCGCAGAGAGCTGCGCTCTGGGCCACAGGGTGAGTGCGGGCACCGCCAAGGGGCGGCGGGGCGGGCCGGCTCGGGGCCTCCTCCCCGGGCCGCTGCTAAGAACGCCCCTTCCTCAGAGGAGCGCGCTCTCCTGAGGCAGCTCAAGGAGGTGACCGACCGCCAGCGGGACGAGCTCCGCGCGCACAACCGAGACCTGCTGCAGCGCAGCCAGGAGACCGAGGCGGTGAGGGCGGGGCCGGGCGATGGGCGTGAGGCGGGGCTCCCCCGCTCCACCCAGCGACGCCCCGCCTACCTCCTCTTTTGCTCCGCCCCCAGCTGCAGGAGCAGCTGCAGCGCCTCCTACTGGTGAATGCCGAGCTGCGGCACAAGCTGGCCGCGGTACAAACCCAGCTGCGCGCCGCGAGGGACCGCGAGAGCGAGCGGCAACTACAGCGCCGGGGGGCCGTGGAGCTGGCGCGGGACCAGGCCGGGACGGCCGGGTACGAGCAGAGGCAGGAGCCCGAGCGGGCCACCGCCGACGCAGGAGCCCCGGGGACCCCTGAGGACCCGGTGAGTGCCCAGCACGGTACTCACAGGTCTGGTACTTGGTGGGCACTCGGGAAGGGTGCTGCGTAGCAGGTCCACCGGGAAGGTGGGAGGCGGCACACAGGCGCGCGGCGCCGGCCGGCCCCTGCTCCCACGCCTAGCCAGAGCACTGGGCTGTCATCTGTCGCAGCGCCCTCGCCTCCCAAGTCTCCCTGCCCGCCACTGGCTTTAGGAGTCCTGAGGTGGCCCCCGGGGCAGGGGAGCGCCGGTGGAGGCAGCCCTCTGACCGAGCCTGTCCTCCCGCAGGCGGGTGCCATGCAGCAGGCCGGGCGCCCCTCCAAGGCAGGACAGTGCAGCTTCAGTCGAGAGGAGCTGGAGCAGATCCTTCAGGAGCGGAATGAGCTCAAAGCCACCGTGTTCCTGCTGAAGGAGGAGTTGGCCTACTTCCAGCGGTGAGGGCGGTGGGCAGGGGCTGGGAAGCTCAGGGGCTCCTCTCACACCTGTCCGGGGGCCTCACGTCACCTGCTTCATTCTGTGGTTCACTGATCTATCCACAGTGACATGTGCCAGGCACTGTGCTGGACACCGGGAGGACATGAATCACACAGCCCCTGCCTTCCTAGAACTTCTTCCAAATGGGGGAGGAGGTAGTACAAAAAGTCACAGCAGCGGTCAAAGACAGATTCCTAGGAGGGAGCAACACCTAAGCTAAGTCTGAGGGGTGTGAGCAAGGCAGAGTGTTTCAAACAAAGGGAACAACATGCACAGGTACTTGGGATGAGACCGACTGTTGGCTTTCCCGCTGCTTACTCTGCCCTTTTCCCTCCTCTGTAGGGAGCTGCTCACAGACCACCGGGTCCCTGGGCTTTTGGTTGAGGCCATGAAGGTGGCTGTCAAGAAGCAGCGGAAGAAGATCAAGGCCAAGATGCTAGGGATCCCAGAGGAAGCAGAAAGCAGGTTAAGTCCCTGCCTCCATTCCCACTGAGCCGGTCCTCCCTTGCTAATTCTGCCGAGCCTGATGACCCAGCCTGGTCATGCTCTAACCCAGCCTAATCACCCCTGGAGCCTACCGCCTTAGCCTCAGCACTGCCTGAGTCTGTCACCTAGCCTAGTCACTTCTTCAACCTGCTAACCTGTCCTGGTCACCCCCTGAGCCTGCCACTCTGGCCTGGTCACCCCCTGAGCCTGCTGTCCTTCTCTCTGGATTGCACTGCTCTGACTTGCCATGCTCACTATACCTCCTGCTGAAGAAATCTGGTAATGATGCTTCTCCACGTGAGTTTTTCAGTTTCCTGTCTTAGCTGGATCTGTTTGTTCTCAGAGGGTTAAGAATATAATTACAGCCACGTCAGGGCCTGCTGTGAGGCTATAAAATAAAAGCCTCAAGATGTCCTTCCTTCATCTCCCTAGCACCTCCTCCTCTCCAGCCTTGAGGGTCCTGTAGTCACTCTATCCTCCCTTGGCTGTTCCTGGGTACTGTGCAGAAGGCTGGACATAGCTGGACTCCCCTTGTCCCCCAGGGCCTTGATAAATGACCCCCACATCTCTCTCCCCCTCTCTGCCTCAGTGACGATGAAGACAGCTCATGGCTCCTGCTCTCCAGTGATAAGGGAGCCCACCCTCCACCCACTGAGTCCAGAATACAGAGTTTGTATGTTGGGGGAAGAGGAAGGGCAAAGGTTGTGGGGGTGAAGGAAGGGCCCCACCTTTGTTCTTCTCCCCTTTCCTGCTCCACTGACATTCATCCTGCTGTCCTGAGCTCTAAGCATATCCCTCCCTCCGTTGGCCCTGGCCCCTTCGCCTCCTCAATACCTCATGCTGTCCTCCCTTCCTATTGTATCCCCTTTCCTTACCACTCCCTGAGCCCATAGCCTTGACCTCTCTGGCATGCAAGCTCAAAATACCTCTTGGTTCTCCCCCCAGCTTTGGCCTGTCCTATCAGGGTGAAACAGAAGTCCCTGAAGCCCAGACCAGCAGCATGGCTCTCAGTGAGCTAGGGGGAGAAGAGGAGGCCCCACAGCAATCCCACTTGGAGCCTGGGGGCAGCCCCACAGTCCTCAACTCCTGACTAGCTCTGCTCAGCACTCGACGAACATCTTTGTCTGGGGGGGTCTCAGCTGCCCCCAGAGACCTGACTTTGGAATTGGGCTATGGGTGGATGTGTGGCCTCAAATGAAGACAAGGCTCCCTCCTTCTTGGCCCTCCCCAGGCTCTTTCCCAGTCCTGGCCTGAGCCAGGGCATGATGAAGAGCTCAGCCTACCTTCCTTCCCTGTATCTCTGTGCCAAGCCTCAGGGGCCAGATAAAAGTGCTTCCTTCCGGAGTCTCAGTTTTCTCATCCATAAAATAGAGAGCTAACTACCTACCTCCCAAGGCTTTGTGAGAATGGCCTAAGCTAATGTAATAAAGCAGCTGCCCACGATACCCAGAAATGGCTCCATGTCTGTGTGTTAGTCGTCGGCCCCTGCCTGGCTCCGCCAGGACAGGCTGTGGTTTCCTCACAGGGTCTTGTTGGTAGTGGGTGGGGAGCTTCTCCCGGCCAGGGCCTCACTTGCGTAGTATGACCTAATGGAAAGACGTGGCTTCCCCTCTCACCGCACACCCTCACCTATCCCCCAGTGTCCTGGGACTTGCAGCTCCATCTTCCTGCCCCCTCCAGACTGCCCCCGCTCAGCCTTCACCAAGGCCTTCCTTTCCTTTTCATTTCTCTGGTGTCTGGTCTTCCCAGCACCCACCCACCCGCCCTCTCAGGGAGGTGCCTCATGGCAGCCCGCCCCTTCACACTGGTTTCCTCAGGAAAGGCCTTGGAAGGAAGCAGGGAGGGGGTTGGGAGCCGTGGGGGCCAGACTAACCCAAGCACTCCCGCTGGACTGGCCGCCATGGGGCTGAGGCTGCTCCCACTGTTGCTGCTCTGGACACAGGGGACCCAGGGGTCCAAGCTGGACCCCAATGGGCGGCATGTCTGTATGGCCAGCAGGTGGGTCTTTGTGGGAACCTGATGTGGGGGCGGGGCTGGTCGAACTGGTGTTGAGGCATTGCCGGGAAGGAGGACGTGAAGGGAAGGGGGCCTGGGGACAGGCTGGAGGGAGGTGGATAGTCAAGGCCAATGTGGGAGGGCCAGGGATGGGATTAGGGACACTGGGACTGTGACTCTTGGCTAGACCTGCCTGATGGGGCTGAGGCAGCCTCCTACATCTCAGCCAGAGACAGTGATCCACGTGCGGAGCCAGTGTGTCCCCCGGCTGACCCCTCTCTGCCCCACAGCCCCTCTGCTGAGCTCCAGTGCTGCCCAGGCTGGAGGCAGAAAGATCAAGAATGCACCGTCCGTGAGTAGCCAGAATGCATCCCCACCCGAGAAGAAATGAGGACGTAGCCCAGTGACCCTTCCTTCCTCTCCTCCTGGGCCTATTTCCCCTCCTGAACCCTAGAGCTAGAGTCCATCCTGACACACATACCCCCGCCCTGAGGGAATGGCTCTTGAGGGGGCAGGGTGCTGGGGGGCAGTGAGAGGGCCGAGTGTCCCCTGGTTGGGCCATGCCACTGTCCTTTCCACCTGGGTGGGATGTTTTTCAGCCATCTGTGAGGGGGTAGATGCCTGCCAGGAAGATGAAGTATGTGTGAAACCAGGCCTCTGTCGATGCAAACCTGGATTCTTCGGGGCCCAGTGCAACTCCCGTGAGTTCTAGTTTCAGCTGGAGGTTGAAGTTGCTAGGCAGAACTGGGGAGCCGGGAGGCAAAGCAGGTAGAAATGTGATCTTAGAACAGCAGGGCCACTGAGGAAATTGAGGCCCAGAGTCAGGAAGTGACGCATTCCTGGAAGATGCCCTGAGTCATCTGGTTTTTACCCATATCCACAAAGCACTAGGCAGAGTTTCAGTTGTCTGCCCTTCACCATCATGTTCAACTTCTCAGAAAAGACGCAGGTTATCCGTTAATTGCAAAATGGGCACATTCTCAGTCTCCCTCCCATGCCCTTTCTGGAGGGTGGAAGGACACCCATGGCTGGAAGAGGGGCAAGGGAAAGGGTCTGGTGGGCAGGATGGCCAGAGAGCAGGAATCAGGGCTGAGAGGAGACACTAGGGGCAAATGTGGCTTCCCTTGTGACCCTCACGGTCAGCATCTGGGCCGGGGTGGACACTCAGTTTACCTCCGGGGGGGGGGTGTGGGGGATGCGGGGATGGGCATGAGAGGGAGGAAATCCTACTTCTGTGTGACTCTGGGCAAAGCTTCTCCCACTCGGGAGCTTTCAGTGTGCTCTCAGTGTGCTCTCGAAGTAGAAAGCTGGGCCACTGCAAAGGGTTTTTGTGGTTCCCAGTCAGAGGCAGGAAGTGAGCTGTGCCCCAGGAGGTTAGGCTGCCAGACGTCCAAGGGTCTGTCTCTGGCTCTTGGGGGTGGGCCTGGCGCCCCCTCTTCCTTGTGGACGGGGGCGCGAGGCGGAGATCGGCGCCTGGCCCTGAGCCCGCTGACCGCCTTCCGTTCCCCGCGCCCCCCTCCCTTTGCAGGCTGCCCGGGCCAGTACTGGGGCCCCGACTGCCGTGAGATCTGTGCGTGCCACCCACACGGCCAGTGCGAGCCGGCCACAGGCGTGTGCCACTGCCTAGCGGACCGCTGGGGCGGCCGATGCGAGTTCGCGTGCGCCTGCGGCCCCCACGGGCGTTGCGACCCCGCGACGGGCGCGTGCCGCTGCGAACCCGGCTGGTGGTCGTCCACTTGCCGCCGTCCGTGCCAGTGCAACCCGGCGGCGGCGCGCTGCGATCCAACCGACGGCTCCTGCCGCTGCGAGCCGGGCTGGTGGGGCCGCCGCTGCAGCTT